TGAGGGAATTCAAAGGTTTTTTAAAAAGATGACCATAGATGACCTTGAAATACCAGAGATTTAAATTTAGTATTAATTGCCTAATTACAACAGTATAGTATTGCACAAGAATAAACAGATAGCTCAGTGGGATAAAAAAAGAGAGTTTAGAAACAGAATCAAGAAAGGTAATATGTAAGGTATATGTAAAATAGCATAATTGGCTTTACATTTGGGAGAAAGTGAAGTTAGAGATCTCCCTCATACCATAAAAATTCCAGTTGAAGATTCAAATTTTAAATTCCTCTAAAATAGTAAAAGCAAAATATGATAAATATTTTTAATACCTAAGGATGGGGAAACTTTCTTAATTGAGGGAGTAAACATGGGAGCTATAAAGAAAAAAAGATGTATTTGTTTCCTTACAGCGATATCATAATCAACAACAAAACTTTGTATAGCTAGAGACCACCTAAAAATTGGTAAATCAGGAGAAAAGATTTCTAATATATTTGAAAAAGGATTAATATTCCATATTTATTCATTCAATCCTTATTTATTAAACACATGGACTGTATGGCAGGCACTGTTCTTGGTTGTGGGGATACTAAACTAAGCAAAATTGAGTAACTTTTCTGACTTCTGTGCACTAAGATTCAAATTCTAGATTTAAACAGTTCTTAACATTGATTAAAAAAAAAGAGAGAAAGACAACCCAGAAAAAAAATGGCAGGTCTCAAATGAAGAAACGAAAATGACTAAAGATAACAGCAGGAAAATGCAAACAAAATATGGAGATATCATTTCTTACACATAGATTGACAGGCACAAGGAAAACGATAATATCTAGGAATGGCCAAAGATAAGGCAGTAGGCTCATGCAGCATGGGTGGGAGTAGGATGGCTACAACTGGTTTAAATACACTGATATTCTTTAGAAATCTCTTCTATCAAAAATAAATAAATAAAGTATTGGTACCTTAGGAAATAAATAAAAGCATTGGTATGTTAGGTTATATAAACAAGGATGTGCTTGTGAAACAACGAACTGGAAACAGCTGCATGCCCATCAATTAGCAAAATGGCTGGATAAATTATGTTCATTTGTTTTTTGTGGGGGGAGATAATGAGGTTTATTTTTAGAGGAAGTCCTGGATTGAAGTCAGGACCTCCTGCATGCTAGGCATGCGCTCTACAACTTGAGCTATACCCTCCCCCTTGAATAAATCATGGAATTCATTCATTCATACGAATGGGCATGTATTTGGAGGAAACTCTAATTTGAAAAGATACATGCACCCCAGCGTTCATAGCAGGACTTTTTACAATAGCCAAGACATGGAAACAATCTAAATGTCCATTGACAGATGACTGGATAAAGAAGTTGTGATATATATATACAATAGAATACTACTCTGCCATAAAAAGTATAATTTAATGCCATTTGCAGCAACATGGATGAACCTGGAGATCGTCGGTCTAAGTGAAGTAAGCCAGAAAGAGGAAGAAAAATACCATATGATATCACTCATATGT